TTTCAATGCTAAATCAACGGGGTATCCACAAGAATACCATCATAGTGAAAGAGGTTATGTGTGCACCAGTTATTGCGGACGTAATTTTTTGTTATGCAAATGTAAAGTTTTGAAGGCCATTTTGGAACTTAAGTTCAATGAATTAGGTACTCTATAACTTGATTTAATTATTTCAAGTGTTTACTCACCACAACTTATCAGTTCAATTAAAATATGTGCACTATTCAAGAGTACTACAATAATTGGAGGAACCGCAATAATACTTTCATGTACCCCTACTTGTTTTAAAAATTGAATAAGTGATTTTTCAGCATCCTGGATAATCATCCACGAGTATCTCCATCTAGGCACGCTAATCACTGAGCCATCAAGGCTCCTCAAGTAAATCAGTGTATTACGCTCTATTACAATAATAAATTATTTTTTTGAAATATTTGGTGGTTAAAAAATCTGTTTCTTTAGATAGGTATACTTACATTGTAAATATCAGTGCTGCCACTACAAAACTTCATGAAAAAAAATTACTCACGAGTTGGCTGCTTCTTCCACCAGAATCTAAAGTGGCTACTTTTTAAACCTATGTTTAAGTTGACGTTTTTTTTTACTTATTTTCTGAGTTAGCTGTCTTTTACCGACCTTTCAATTTCGACCCTATTGACTACGTATGTGTATACATGTATTGGATATGTGCCTGTAGCACTTGACATATACAGGCCTTACGAGAGGAATTAAGTTTTTTTTTTTTTCGTGGTGAAAGAAGTGTTGAACACGAAAAGTTGGTATTGGTATTGATATTTTGATTTTTAAGACTTTCTTCAGTTTTTGCTTTCAACTTTTTACCCTAACCGCACGGTGTTGGAGTCTTTCGAGAGGACTCAAAACGACTTGGTCATCTATCCTACTAAGGCTAACATGCTAACCACTGAGCCATCGAAGCTCTTGAACACAAAAAGTTAGTAGAGTACATATTTTTTAATTAACATTATGCTTATTCAGGTTGTAATTTTTTTATGTGATGCAACCCTTTATTAAGGACAAAAACAGCGTTTTGAAAGCACTGAGTACAGTCAACCCTACATTCAGCTACTTATTCTTGCTGCCGCCACTGTTGCGCCTGCTCAAAGGTAACCGTAAGCAAACACCTAGCTCGATGTTAGGTTAAACTGTACTCCGTACCTTAAAAACGCTGTTTTCGGCAGCAATAAATAATTTCATCACATAAAAAAATAAACTCACTCTCATAATGTTAAAAATATTTACTCCAATAACTTTTTGTACTTAATACCTTTCTGCTACGAAAAAAAATTAAAACTCGATTTTTCCCACAAGGCCTGTACTAATTTTTCGCTAGTAATCAGATATGCATCGCCATGTTACGTGGTACAGGCACATTCCCAATAGATACGCCACGACGTTAACAACACGTCAACACGACGCAGTCTGTTTCGGCGCCGCCCGGCCTATGTATACAGTGCAGTATATATATATATATATATATATATACACAAATTACCCGTAAGTGACACCGTAAATTTAATACAATGTAATTAATAATATATGTTTATTAAACCATTGGAGAAAAACATTTAGCATAATTAGAAAATTATCACAATTATTTAGAATCAACCTACCAACCTCAATAAAAGAAAAAACGTGATATTTCGAAAGAAAAGCGTCGAAAATAACAATTTTCATGGGTTTTTAAATGATCAATGAAACCATCAAGGTGCACAAAAAAAGAGGTCTTGGTTGACGTTACAACATAACCTTAATATAACTTATTCGATGCATTATTTTTGTACTATCAATGTTCAAAATTGTGAAATAATTATAGCATGATTAGAAAATTACTATAAACAATTGAATTATATTCCAAAATTATTTTACGATAACATAATCTCCAAAAAATAATGAAAATCTCGGAGGGAAAGCAAGATAGGCCACAAAAAACACTTTTTACTGGTTTTCTAAGGGAACTGAAATCATCGAGGCACACGAAAAAATAGGTCTTGGTTGACGTTACAATATTTAAAAAAGAAGTGGGTAGAGAAAGAGAGCTGGTCACGTTAATGATTAATTATGTTAACCTTAAATATGAAAAGAACTTCGTTCCAATCGCATGTCCCGCGACATGGTATACTGGTTTTTTTCAAATCCATACGTCGAGATAAAAGAGGTTAAAACTATTATGTGTCGAATAAAGAAGCTTTAGTTAGTCGCTGTAAGAATCTGTTATCTGAAGTATATATATGAAGACTAAAGAAGCTGCATTAATTTTTGTATTTGCTATATGCAAGTGTATTAGCGCGATCAGATGCCAGAATAGCGTTGACTTTCCAGATGATTTGGGGACTTCATGCATTGTCATTCGCAAATAACACAAGGTTATTGATTAAATATCATAACAGTCGTAAAAACTATGAGAATCTCAATAACTACGATTATATTAAAGCAGAGCGTTGATATACAAGCTTTATTTAAACAACTATTACTCAAATATAGCACCTTCAACTTTATAGCTTACGTTTATAGTAGTTATCGTTACCATTATCTCTAACAACTCAAAGTGGTTGAAAAATCGAATAGTATATAATTGATAGTGTATTGAGTTAATTGAATGCATTTAGTACTTTACTGATAATAATTATATTCAATATTATTCTAATAAGAGAAAGTTTCCTTGTGCTTTCGGCTTTTTCCCTATAAATTGGAGTTCATAATTTCGTGGTTTTGTTTGTTTAGTGTTACGAAATAACCGAAGGGCTTTGTAAACAAGAACTAAGAACGTAATAAATTACTGTCGGACGTTAATTGAAATGCTTGTGATGACAAACGTTTTTCTGTTATGTTACTTATTTATTTAGTTTTTTTTTAAATAATTGTTCTAGTGTGGTGAACGGGGGTATTATTGCCTCTTTTTTCCGGTGGTTAGCTTTAAACGTTTGTCTAAGAAATTCAGTTCGTCAAATCGTTATAATATTTTTTCTCTTTTTTTTTTTTTTTTGTTAAAGTTGGACTTGAAAACTACTGAATTCCGATTTCATAAATGTATAAATTCATGAATATTGATTTAAAAAAGGTTTTAAAGTTCAGTTGTCAATGCTGATANACTGCTACGAAGTTTTGTAGGTTAGGTTAGTTGAAAGTTATTTAATTAAACAATTATTTATTTCATGATAAGTATAATTTTAGATATAGTGTTATTAATGTCCGAACAAGTTACAATGTTTAAGCACATAAAATTTCCAGTCTGGTTCTCTTATTTTATATTGAGTGCATAGTCATTAGTGCCTGCGCAGTAATTAGGTCATTTATCCCTAGTTAAAGAGTAGGGATAAATACTTGATGCAGTCATCGATTACTTTTACTATGTGCTCAGCTGTACAGCTGTAGTCGACATTTCCACTTTTCATCGCATAGGCCCACCCCGGTTGGGCAATCGGGCGCTCGAATCAGACAAGCGGAATCTCGTCATAGAATTGGAGTCAACAATCTCTCTATTTCCCTTTGGAATCCAGCAAATGAAAGTTACCACAGACGTAACTAAAATGATTTAATTACGTATTATCTACATGAATATGTTGACAACGAATACATTCAGTACGCGATTCATTAGATGATTGACTATGTATTGTTTTTCGTCTTGTAGCTTTATTCCCTGTAGAATCCTTAGTACTCACCTTTATATAGTTGCGGTCACTGGGTGACGATGATTGTTGGCCCGCTTTCTTATGTTGTCTAGCCGTCGACACTGAGGATCTAATTCTCTGGAATTATTAACCCTTAAAGAATTTTTAATAAAATTAAGTTGACCTAATTATTTTGCTTTTTCGGGCCTTTAAACATCCGCTAACATTTACGACCCGAACGAAGCGAGGCCCTTCACTTTTGCCCTGAACATAACCTGTTACCATACTCACCACTGAAGCTCATTGTTTTCTGCTAAAAGAAAGTCCATGCTATTATATCATCTGATAGCACCAATACACTTGCACATAGCAAATAGAGCAATATCGAAGGAGTGAATCTGACTTTAATCCATTTCAGATCAAATGGAACATTGCAGAGGGGTTATAAACTCCTACATTACTTCCAGACTCCTTTTTTTGTCAAGGTTTTGCACTACATAACACGTGAAGTTTAAAAAAAAAGACACGTTAAAATGTCAGCTAAGGGCCAAAACATTAGAAATAAATCACTCAAATCGGTTTTTTGCGTCCAGACAAAAAACTATGAACCGTACTTATTCTTATTCGTGGAAAAGATGCGCATACTCAAAGTGATGAAAATGAATTTCATGAGCCCGAATATCTCGAGCCCTTTTTTCAAAAATTTCGTAGACCGTGTTTTTGGGCCTGTTTATCACAAATCTATAACTTGCGTTCTAACTAATATTAAAAGTTGAAGTATGAGTTTTGTGGTTCTCAAAACGCCCACTAAGTTGTTTAAAATATGTGGCCCTTTTCAAACGCTCTTTTTATCGTCAAAATTGTATGTACCACCTACCTAATTTTCTACTCCCAACTTTTTTACACGTAGCGTAAACAATCCTATTTCAGAAAAGAAAATAATTTCGAATGTAATATATTTTCTAAAAAGTAAAATGTAAAATATAAATGACGGCCGTAACGCTACAATATACAATTCAAGTACGATACATAGTTGTTTCAAGCAAGATAAAAATATATTTACTACAAAGTGAAAAAAAAATGTATAATCGAACAATATTTTAATGAATTAAAACACTACCTATCTAAATATGTACCATTAGAAAATCTTACTCAATAGTACCTGATTTGTCTAGCTATGTCAAATCAGTTTACTTTAGCAATCAGCTAACGTCGGCGCAATGAGGGGTAAGCCACCGATAGAAGCCTCAATGTATATGTCTACCCTCCTCGCGCCGCTTCTGGCTGATTGCAATAGCGCGCTGTGTGTAAGTGAGAGACAAAAAGAGTGTTACTAGAGTAACTTACTTTTATCATAAATTTCTGTAACAGTTATCAAGGACAAAATTGGGGAAATCATGGAAACTGGCAAAGCCAAGCGCAAGACTGGAGTAACAACTGGAGCCAGCAGCAAGCCTGGGGTGGAGCTGGGGGAGCCTGGAAGGGTTATGGCCAGCAGCAAGTACCTTACGGTCAGCAGACAAACCAGAATTATGATAATGGCAGTTGGACATGGGGCTCGCAGTATTATAATCAGCAGTATTGGTCCGGCCAGCCGGCACAGCAAGCTCAACACACCACGACTGGTCAGACGAGTGGCCAAACACAGCAGAGCTCCATCACTCCAGCTACAAGCAAAAAGTAATCTTGTTTTGTTGCAAAACAGGTTACGACGAGCTTCAGTGAGACCGCACTGCAGACAGCAAGGTATAAGCAATAGCAATACGTTCTTCAGTTCCATAGAGTTTGTACTTGAATCATCCAAGAATGAATTTATTAATTTTTTAGACTGTACTACTTTCTTCCATGGTTCTTACTACTTGAAAAAATAATGAAAAGAGATGTATCTCTTAATAAATTTTTCTTTCTTTAAATTTTTTTTTCTTTAAATAACTCTATTGAACGATCATTATGTGAAATGTGTATGTTAAGTATTGAGTATTTGAGAAATAATCTAAAAACTGACTTGCTGTTTAAAATAATTTGACGAAACAGTTTTGAAAATGTACCTCGGATTAGTACTTAAAAATTTCTATGTTTCCAGGAAAAAATTACGATAGAATCCCTTGTTTAAAAAATATAAGTATTTTTTCATAGTAAATAATCATTAGAAAAGTATAAATTATTTATTCCAGAAATTGAATATGAATTTATGTATAAAATTTTAAGCTTTAAAGCAGAGTTTTTAGTTTTATAAAAAGTTTAGTGTAGTGTAGTGTAGTGTAGTGTTAGTAACATGAAGTATACGAGATGAATTATTATCTTAGTTTATTAATTTGTCAACTATACATTGCCAAATTTAATAACCAAATCATTAACACACATAATATTAAACAATTACGTTACTGTACTCAATTATTTTTTTCTTCCTCTCCTAGCCGAAAGTACGTACCTCCTGGTCGGTCTGGTTAGCAAGAAAGAATATCTTTTGTTTACAGTCGAGACACGACTTTTTTCGTTTCGAGCCGAGACCAACTAACCTAAGTGTAGTGTCGCAGCAGTATTTTATAAAGTTGTGTGTTTACGAATTACGAGATAGTTGAGGATATCGTACAGTGACAAAATCAAAAAAAGTAACAAAAAAATACAACAGCAATCCTCCGTACTTAATAAATAATAAATCATTAAGTATGTTAAATAATAAAACATTAAAACCTGTTTTTGTAGTTTAAAAAAATTTAGATGGTTCTTTTTTTATTTTCTTTGTGATTTTGTGTATATTCCTATGATTTTATTTTTCATTTTGTTAACTTGTGCATGTGCTTTTTGACGCCCGCCCCCGATTTGCAAGGCCTCGCCTTCGGCTCGGCCGTCGCTGGGTCGGCGGGCGTCAACGCACACATGCACGGCAGCACAGCAGGAAGCATAATCGAGCAACGAGCTGTCAGCTCGTAATCTCACACTGATTGCGCATACATCCTTTATACGTACACATTTCAGCGTATACTGTATGTACAGGTATTATTAAATCAAAACGTACTTTCCACTAGGGGAAGGAGAGAAGTACTATACGATACTCAGCCGGATAGTTTGAGTCGATGGCATTTGACTTATGACGGCTTCGGCTTCGCCTCGGCCGTCATAACCTTGCAGCCATAAACTCCAACTTTTCGGTCTGGTGTCGTAATCTACTATTTATTTATTAAAATACACAGGCGCATGAATATTTCGTTTTTTTGTGCTTCCTAACAATGTTCATATTGTTAATCAGCTTAGTTCTTAAGTACTTACAAATATTGTCAAGTCAGTGCAATAAAGACTATTTTCCAAGGAGATGTTAAAAGAGAGCCTTTTCAAACTCAATCGCAAGAAAGAGCCTTTTCGGGTTTTAAAACAAGTGAGCGTATTTCCAACTCTGAGCAAGAACGAGCTTTTTTAGAAAAAATTTTTTCTACTTAATGTAAGTTAGTAATATATTTAACATAGATGTAAAAATTGCCTTTAGCATGTACATACAAATATATAATTGACCTGACGCGCTTCTCGATTACTACACTTATTGAACGATTGAACGATTGAACGAACTTGTGAAGTTCGATTACAATTGTATAAGTGCATCCTCCGAAGAGATCGAGATGTAGTCTCCCTTTCCTGCGTCAGTGTTACCACAAATTTTTAAAACAAAAAACTTCCAGTCACTGGCGTTGTTGGGTGGTTCGCTTCCGCCGTTGCTCATTTTTCAAAGTGTTGCCGTCGTATGAGTTATCAATACATTGCTTAGCTGATAAAGCAAGGTATATTTGGGTTGCGTTTTGATCTCTTCGGAGGAGGCGCTAACACGATTGTAATCGAACTTCATAAGTTTGTTCAATTGTATTTCGCGCCTCCTCTTTCGAGATCAAGATGTAGACTTTTAAAGATAAACTACTGCATATTAAATAAATAGCAGTTAAGGACGTTCATCACACATAGCGTTTTCTGAAGGATCTTCCTGAAATTTTTATAGGATGCTCGTGATGATGTTAGAAAATCAGATGTAGAATTTGAGACCATTTCACAACACCGTTCTTTAGATATTAAATGTTGATAATACTCAAATTTAACACGTAACCTTATGGAGGAGTCACATAAAAATGGAATTTATATGAAAACGGTCTGATAAATTTGCCCAATTTTTTTTTTTTTTTGCATGACACAATACCATAAATTTAATATTAAACAAAATTTTCAGTGGGATCGACAAGTTATTTTTGCAATAAAATAAAAAAAAACAGTATCAGACGCCTATGTATAGGTATACAAATGCGTGCCAAACAATTGCTGGCGTTGCCGCATGCTCGCTCCCCCCTCACCGCTCTCGAGTTTTGCCCCGCTAACTGTGATGAACCTTCCTTAAGAAAAAACAATCTTTATTCATTTATTATAATATAAGAACACTACTTATTGATTTAAGATCGCTAAGGCGAAATTGTTTTTGTTTGACGCAATTTCTCTGTTTTAAAACTTTACAAAAGTTTCGGAACTTTTATACCATCCCGCGGTCCTTCTAATTAAATCTAGATCCACACCTAATCTTTTAGCTGCCGATGTCGATACGTAGCGCGTGCTGTACGCCGAAAAAACTGAAGTGTCGATTTTACAATCATTTAATGTCTTTTTGATCCAGCCACTTAGAGACTGAGCTAAAACTGCCATTATTGGGCCGCAACAATACACAGCGGTTAAAAAGTGTTTTTCTTTAACGTTTTTATGGTATCGGAAATTCTTATTTCTATTTTTGAATCAGAAGTTTTTATCTTATCAATATCAATAAGCGAGAAAGTTTGCATTCAATGACCGGTAACAAGTGCTTAAAAGGTTATTAGTTTTTACTAATACAGTCTTGGGGCCCCCCATATAATCGTACTTGGTTCTTGATGGCCTGAGCTTCGATATCCCTTTGAAGAATCGCTTAATAAGAGAATTCTTTCGAATACTATCTTTGATTATTAACGCAATAGCAGATCTTAAGCAGTGTATGGAGTTTAATGACAATCCTTTGTTATAGTCTTGTGTAAGGAAACAAAATTCTTCCGATCTTTGGATTGAAAATCTCATCTTCTTTTCCTTCACAAAAATTCCACCATTTCTTTAAGACGATATCATAATTTTTTACTATACACTGAAAAAACTATGGTGCTCAAAAACTACCACAAGTTGGGAGCACACGCTCCCTAGATGACTGTAGTCACTTAAGAGTTCTACAATGGAGGGCCCGTAGTAAATAATGTAGCTGACTACAATTGCCAACTAGTGTAGAGTCGTGCAACTGACTACCGTGGGGCCAAATCATCCCCACAAGTAATCGGATTGTCCCTGCAACACAAGGTGGTACGTATCAGTGACTACCATAGAGTCTGATCCTGTTCATGCCATGACCGGTCATATGGTCACTAAATGTGATATGAAGCAGATGCTACGTGTAGTTTATAAGTATCATATTTACATGTGGGTGTGTCCCTGATACACTGCATACTTGTGAAGTCATAGGTTACGAGAGCAAAATCCATTCCTACGAGAATATGTGTTTGTGTGTATGTGTGTGTGTGTCAGTACTCAATGATTAATACTCTCACAAAGCGATGTATAATCTATACGAACACACGCACATATACATGCATTGACAGTCCTAACAAAGACTTACATTATTAATTTATTTTAACATTTTTCATGTGCAACACACCTCACATTTAATGCAACTTAATCATTACCATATTTTACTTAAACCATCGCAAAAAATCACATTTACAAAATTATCATAAATGTTAAAAACCTATTTTAAAATTATGATATGACAACATAACTTTAAAAGAGAAGTCTTGGTTGACATTACAACATAACCTAGAATTAATTATATTATTGCAATATCTCTATAACATCAACGTAAAATTTTGCGTAAACATTTGTAGTATATTATTATGAATGTTTATAATATACCAGAAAAAATTATTAGGAAACATAACCTCAAAAAAAATTAAAAACCCAATATCTCAAAGAAAAAGCGAGATAGGCTCAAAATAACAATTTTTACAAGTCTCCTAATGGGTAAAAAAATTATTGACGCAAATAGAGAGGTTTTGGTCGACATTGCAATATAACCTAGATTTAATTATTGCAAATTTTCATCAAATTATCGTGAAAAATTGCGAAAAAAATTATAATATACTTAAGGAATGAGTGTGTACGTTCAGAATCAATTCATAAAATTCTACATAACGATAAAACCTTAAATAATATGATGAAACGTGATATTTCGAGGGGAAAGCAAGATCGGCCCAAAATAACATTTTTTACGAGTCTTAAATACTTACTCTTAAAGTTACTTTACATCTTGAAGTTTTTTTTCTATTGGGGATTTCAAGACCCATACCTAGTATTTGTTACTTTCGTGTTGCTGTGTTTATTTAATTTATCATTTGTAGAAGTAGTCAATTGTATACAAATTGACAGATCCGTCAAGATCAGTGTATATGCGTATATAAGCTACACTTAGGATTTAAAAAAAGCAATGTAACGCACTTTTAAGCTTACAAAATAGTGTAGTAAATTATATTTATTTTTTTTTAATAAAAATTTATTGATGGACAATTTTATATAATAATAAAAAAATTAAAAATGTTGAAAAAAAATATTTTTGTTTCTCGGAATTAAACAAACGTATAGTACCATTAAAATATCACTAAGGGGTAACGTTTAATAAACATCAATAAAATGATTGATGCACTTAA